GTGTGTGTGTGTGTGTGTGTGTGTGTGTGTGTGTGTGTGTGTGTGTGTGAGTGTGAGTGTGGGGAGTGGGGGACGGATGTTGATGTCAGACTTACTCTCCTTTGATCTCAATATGCAGCACCGGACTGCCAGTCTCCGACCCTTCCCAGCATGCACTGCACACTCACAAATTCAAACAGCATCGGCTACATAAACTGCTTCTTATGCAAGGTTTGTGCTCTGTGGGATGCATGCAAAGTTAATGTCCTAACATTATTATATGATATATTACTCCCATTAAATCCACAGAAGATAATTACATATAGAGTAATATTTTGCAAGGCATATGCAAGGGAAATCTCCCATAGATCCTGACGGTTGACTCAGCTGTGTAACTTGGGTCTCTGAAGGCAGAGAGATAGCGAGGTGAGAGCTCTGCATTATGCATCGTAATCCCAGTGGAGGCACAGGTCTTTACATGGGTGTCCACTGCCCTCTAGATGAGAGGAGAGGAACTTGATATCCTGCTGGAGATGATGAAGCATGCTACACATTTCATTTACAGTTCAGAGAAGGTGCTATTTTGGACACCAACATGCAACTCAGACTCTCGTACTCCAACATAAAACCTGCAAATTCATCAAACAGAACACTGCAGGCTTGATATGGTGCAGTGTACTGTACAACTTTAATAGAGCAGCCAGTGTACGCACCAGCCACTTTGCCAGTGCTGGGTGTAAGCGGAGAGAAACAATGGGATGTTCAAATCTAAATGGATATTAGGGTTTTAGTTTTTTTCACTGCCTACAGATGGCTGCTGATGACCTTGCTGGGAGAGTTGAGCAAAGCGATATTAATCATAGCGATGCCTCCTCCACTCCCGGAGTCACTGGGCAGGCGTGCATGCAGCTCTAACAGCCAGTGGGAGGAGGTGGTGGTGGTGGTGGTGGAGCATCAGAGAAAATGACTCCATATGCTTCCACTATGCAGCATTCTCTTTCATCTGTGTCTGATCAAGAAGAATGTGGGGTGCAAATAGCTTCCGAGGAGGCAGCCCTGCCCTGCGACATGTGAAGTGGCAGAGATGGTGTGTGTGTGTGGGGGGGTTGACTAGCTCTGAAGACAGTTACATAACAAAATAGCTGCTAGCTGTTGCATCTCATCACTTGTTATTCTGTGACTGGTTTAAAAAAAACTAGTATATTTTCTTCTATTATTATTATATTATAATTGTATTATTATTATTACTAGTATTATTATTATTGTATTATAATTATTGTATTATTATTATTATTGTATTATTATCATTATTGTTGCATTATTATTATTATTGTATTATTATTATTTTCATTAGGGGTGGGCGGGGGGGACCAGTGAGCTCATCCTCCACGAGCTCTCCACAGGTGATTGGTGGCTTTCACCCTCCAATCACAATTCGCGTGCAAAGTGGCTCGGTGGTCAGTTTGGATCTTTTTTTTTTATTTTTGGTGGAAGTAACCTCAGCGAACTATCCAAGTTTACCGTCAGCGGCAGGATAACACGTTCTCTGCCCGTATCTTTTGTCTCCAGCGTCCTCTCACGGTCGACTTCACCGCACTTTTCAAAAGATTAAACATTTAAAAATCCTCTTGAGAGGCGTCCTGAAGGGAGCTAACCAGCGTTAGCATTGGGGCTAGCATGACAACCAGAAGAAGGACTGCCATCATCCTCCTCCTCCTCCTCCTCCTCCCCTGTGGCTTTGCTAGCAGCAGGTAAGTTGCAACTCCTGTTCAGGCTAGTTTCCCTTGCGGGGAATCGAGAGAGACGCCTTTCAATTGCGGTACAAGTTAGCGGCAAAGCTCAAATTAAACTGTTGCCCAGCCTGTCCGCACACTATTAGCTTAGGCTGGTAAATGGCGCAGGGTCAGGGTAAGCTAACGTTAGCCGCATGCCAGCTAGCCTCAGTGTCGCTGTGCAAAGCAAACACAGCTGTGTCTGATCTGTGGGCTCGAAAGGGGGGGAATACAAACCCGTTAAAAGCTGCTTTGTAATCGGCTTCGTAGCGTTTCATGGTCCACATAATACGCTGAGACCATTTCTGGCACTCTTTTCTGTGTCGTGTCTCTACTCTTCGATATATAGATTTGCACTCTTGTGATTATCAAAGACAGGCTTCCTGGAGTAAATTCATACCATCGTTTGAATTGACTAAAGAGCATGTGTGCACGTGAGAACGCTCGTGTGTGTTGTAGGTAATCGTCAAATCTTGCTCCATATTTTCTGACCAGCGATCCCAAATATTTCAGTTTATGAATATAATGGATGCCCAGCAGAGAACAAAATTAAGAACGTGGCAATAATTTGCTGACCCATTGTGCATCTCTGTGGCTAATAAATCATATTAATCATGTAATTAGACCCTGTTAATCACGTGTTTCACAGTCTTTATTGTGACTCTCTGTTTCACAGGTCTCCATTATGGTCTGCAGCTGTGAGCCTCCCAAATGGATGATTATCAAGTCAGTCTTCCACATCTGTATGACGCACTCATGCCCGCAGGATATCTCACCAACGCCTACAGGTTATTTTGCATTTCTTATCTCTCTCCTTCGGTGTTGATATGGCTATATAAAGTATTATTTACAGATCTTGTACCCTAGCAAAGTAAAGATCAGGGTCCACCTTAAATATGTCTGCACACTGAAACAGGCTTGCTCTTCTTCCGCAAGGAGGAAGTTTGGCATGAGTGAGGTTTTAGAGCTTCCATATCAGTTCTTACTGAATATACTTAATAATTAGGCCTATTATCTGAAGCATGCAGCTCTGAACTGTACTATTGAAGTGCCCGTATGTGTGTGTGTGTGTGTGTGTGTGTGTGTGTACACCTCTTTGGCGTACCATATGCTGAGAAACCAAATATCAGGAGTGTGTCCCTTATTCATGCTTAGCCCCTCTTTTTGGGCCACATTTAAATCAAACATTAAACCTTGTGTTAAGATGTTCAGCAGCTGTTTGCAGACAAAAAACAATGTTTTATTCTCATTTTGTTGACTTAGAACGTGGGGTTTAAACATTTGTGCCACAACACGTCGCCTTCAGCCATTCACAAATGATTAGCTTTGGAGGTTGCTTACATGTCTCATCGAAGAGGCTACGGCAGCAGAAGAAGACTGTACTTTACAAAGAAGAAGATGGGGCTACACTGGGATGACGCAACACTTAAATGACAGTTGACAAAGCAAACTATCTTGATTTCTGCTGCTTGAGAAGGGGTGAATTCATGGATCTATCCTGCACTTGTTGTGGTCATAACATCAACATAAGGACCATTAGAAAATAATAACTTCGTAGCATGCTGTTTATGGCCAGGATCATTGTCGAGAGAGCATCAGTGATTTTATGTATGGAGTGCTTGAGTGTGTTTTTGCATCTTGCAAATCGTAGTTTTATCAATTTTAGTAAGCGTGTCGTAATTCTCCGTTAGCATGGATGATAGCTCAAAGAAATGAACTCAAAAATGTAAACAAAACTTTAAATTTGTCATAATCCAACATTACATATAGTGTCACTAAATTGGTATTTATTGCCCAACTATTTAATTATGTTGTTTAAAGGTGCATTTATTTATGTGTTAAAAATGTATATTGATGGCACAGTTGTGGGTTTGGGAATGTTTTGACTCTGTTTATAAGTCTTAAGGCATAAACAGATAAAAAGTTAACTTCTAATTGCATGTTAGTGCTTATTCCACAGGGTGGTGCTGTTTGCCAAATAATTGAATCTGAAGCAGAACAGGTGTCCTATTTTTGGTTGCACATTACTTCTAAAAAGCTCGACAGAAGTTTTAAATTGTGTGTTTAAAAAACAGTCGGAAAACCTTTTATGACTGTGTTTTTACCTGAAATATGAGCTTTTTTTATCGCTGTCCTGTGACAGACACGTCTGCAGTTTTTATTTTTATATGTTTTACATTTTTTTACATAGATGACAAATTATGTTTTTATTACGTGAGCATCATCCAAAAATGAGAACATCCCGAAGTTCACATCCCTTCATCAGCATCCAGCACCTCGCCCCCACCGTCGGTCCTCCCTCCCTCCTTACCCACTACCCCAAAGGGTCTCGCGAGCGCGCACGCGTGCGAAACTGCGTGGGAATGGCTGGTTTGTGTGATCGAGGGGGTTGGGCCGCTTGGAGCGAGCTGGAGGAGCTGCATGAGTTTGTAATGTCCGCCATGTTGGCCATGGCGTATTGAACCGGGGAGGAACAGCGGAGCCTACGAAAAAAAGAGACCGACAGAGAGCGACCGAGACCCGGGCCTGCCCGGCTCTGTTCGCGCTGCTACGGACCTCAATCGACCGGCTGACTCCTGGAGACCGTCACAGATTCATCCATGAGAACTCGAGGCAGACCTGCTGTTATTTCTAGCAGATCGAATAGATTTATGCTGCATCTTTTAATATAAAAAATAAAATGAGTAAATTGTCGTTTCGGGCTCGGGCGCTGGATGCTAGTAAGCCTCTACCCGTCTTCCGCTGCGAGGATTTGCCAGACCTGCACGAATATGCCTCGATCAACCGGGCGGTGCCGCAGATGCCGACTGGGATGGAAAAAGAGGAGGAATCGGTATGTTTTTTTTTTTTTTTCATTGCTGCCCGACTGATGGTGGATCTCTTTGGCCCGTGTATTCGCATCCGATGGGGCGCCACTATGTTGCCTGCGCAAGCTTGTGCAAAATGGCCGCCATTTCTGTCTCTTTTTTTTTTTCTTCTTTTTTTTCTCGCGCACACGACGGATCTCGACGAAATACTGCATATTACGAGCCCGCTCCGCCGCGGGGGTCGTCGCGAGGTCGCGGTGGTGCGATATTTAACTCGCGAGCCGTGTTGTGTCCGCTCGTTTGGCGTGAAATCGCGGCCCGAAAGGCACAAAGCCGAGTCACGTGACTTGCATCTGTTCCACCATTTTGTTGACTTTCTCTTTGGTTAAAAAAGGCAAAGCGGGAGTAGAGGCCTCGGTACGTGGTGTACTTTCCACGAGCGAGTGCCAGGGGGAGACAGTGAGCCCCCCCCCCAACCACCCCAAAGCCCGGTTTGACAGCTAGGTGTTGCGTGTTGACAGCTCCGGCTCCGCCATGTGTGCTGCACACTGTCTGCAGAGAGAGAAGGGGGGAAATATCCTGCAGGACTGAACAGTGCCGTGGGAGCATAATGTGTTTTGACATGCATGGTAGTGTTATCCTAGAGACTGCTGCATTCCTGCTTTTTCAGCGTGACACCAGGATTGACTGTCAATTGACAGGATTGTGAGTGTAGTGAATTTATCTTATAATGTTTACACGTTGCTGTGAAGTTGTCGTGTAGGATGTTGTTTATAACTAAGACCTTATGGATGTTTGGATTGTCATTAAGAGCTATAGTTTACTCGCTTATCAGGTATTTGTTTTGGGTAATATTTATGTTATTTGAGCTTGTGGACACTCTCTTGTGCTACTTTATCCCAGCTTGTTTACACCTGTGCATAGCAGGTTATTTACTCACATTATCTATAGAAATGAGACAGACTATCGGACGTCATACATGTACAACCCATTTAAAACGCAGCTTGTCAAGTTGGCTGCAGCTCAGATATAGCTATATTTAATTCTCAGCGTGGGTCAAACACGGTGACTTATTCTGCAGACCACGCCGTCGCACGCTAACGTCTACACCTTTTACCTGATCTGCTTTTAGATTTGTTACATCATTTATAGATGCATGATGTCGTTACTCAATAGGATGTTACAGTTGGACAGAAATCATTAACGTCTAGTGTATCAGCAGGAGAGCCCCCTCTATGCCGCCGAGATGCCTCAGCAGACACAAACACTAGGAAAGCGCACACACAGGGGCCCCCGCAGAGTCAGCAGAAATCCTGCCCCCCCCTGCGGGCTCTCCCCCCACCTACTGTACACACACACACAGCGGCATTACATAACAGAGTGACGGTAGAGGTAAAGAGGACAGTTTTACTACAAGGTTGTGCGTGGCTGAGCTCCCTGACCCACATCCTGTCCGGCAACGATGGAGTCTCACTGTGCCGAGCTTGGCAGACTGACCACATGCTGACCTGAGAATATTTGTCTATTTAAGAAGCAGGGAAGCACGCATAATGATCTTGATGACGGGCTGGCATTGACACACACACACAGGAAGGAATATCTTTTTGTAACCCAGGTTGTCTATATCGGGGCAGTTTGATGAGACTACATCTGGAGTCAGCGATAAGCTGATCTTTGTTTTGGCTCATTTGAATCACCAAAAATAAGTTTGTATGTCTGCCTCATCAGTATTCACAGCATCAAACCTGACAGAAATAATTAACCTCTAAAAGCATAATTTGTGCACCATTAATAGTTGCAACGAAACTGGAAACATTGCACTTCATTCATTAGTAATGCGTCTCCTGCGCAGCATAAAACAACTGTCCTGCTGTGCTCCCCTATGGCTTTCGACAGACGTCACATGTGGACGTGCTGTGTTTTTAAGGCAGTGTGTTTCAGTGCTATGTAGGAGCAGCAGATTAAATTCATGACAGTGGTCAGCAGGAACATTGTGTCCCATCGCCTAATCAGGGAGTCTGTGATTGTTACATTTGCACTGATGGTTGGATATGGAGATTAATCAAATCCTGTTCACAAGGGGTCAAATAGACACTGGCCGACTCATTAAAGTCTCATCATTTGCACAAGAAGAAACAAACAAGGGAGCTCATAAAGAAGTACGTCGTTTGCATAATAAATTGCGAGTAAAGATTAGAAAACACGGAGAAGATGAATCCTGTTTCGCTCAGATTCTCTCGCCTTATTCTTTGGTAACGAGGGGAAAGTGTGCGTACGTGTTGAGGTGCCGTAGATAATTAAATCGTCTCAGTACTGAAAATAAAAAGAACGTGTCACAATGACCACACAAGCTTTTGAAGGAACACACCCTCGCTGCAGTTTTATGGCTCTTCTGCACCAAACTGCGGTGTTGCATGCTTTGCGTCTTAGATAATTCTGGTGTTTTGTGGTGGTTTATTAGAGGCCATGTTTGTTTCATTGCATCCATCGCTGTGCTTTAATGGATGTTAGGTGGGGGGTGTATGCCTTGCTCAAGTCTTCCTCGCCTTCCTCTGGCAGCTGAAAACACCTGCTGGAGGCCACACTTTTGTTCAAGTCGTCATATTTTTCTTGGGAACATTTAATGGAAAGGAACGCGTGGTGCTGTGAAAGAAAAAACTGATTTTCATTTGTCTCTCTCTTTATATCTGTGGCCGTGACAGAAAGCAGCACTGTGAAGTCTCCGCAGTCCCAGATCCTTTTGTGTGGAAAGAACAAGAGAATTGTAGGTTTTGATATTTCCTGGGGTGAGAGGCAGAGCAGGTAGGAGCTAGGCCGACTCTGTGACTGAGGGGTTTTAGCATTTGTGCCCGTTGTGTTCCGTTAATGGCCATCATTATGATCCAGTTGGGTTTTCTCTTCATGCGTCCGCCAGCTCTTGCCTCTTTACGTTTTTATTTTACAGAATACAGTCGACTCGGTGCTTCTGATACAAACGTTCAGTCGTGATATCTGAACTTTAAACTCTGACAGTTGGAAGAGGTCCTATAAATACCCAGTTCCCTTTTCCCATGTGCAATTCTCAAAAGCCCCGTTATCCCTGCTCACCCAATTCTTCGGCAGAGGAAATCCCAGGCTGTGAACCTTTTGGTTGCGAGGATCACAGCTGCAAAAGATCAGGATATCTTGGAGTCTGAGGCAGCTCAGCGGAGCCACGCTAGATATCCTCTACAGACGCGTGCGAAGGCAACTCAGGGTCGGGCTCAGGTTTAATTGGTTCCTTACGCTCACTTTTAATGCCGCTTCCTCAACTCGCAAAGCTCAGGGTTCATCAGCATGTCAGACAGTGGGGGCGCTTGTTGAGGATGTGTTTGACAAGTTAGTCGGGAGAACAGACCCAGCGCCGCGTTGGTTAAGCGCTGGTTCATAAAGTGTACATGAGGTCAGGTCACATCGGCGGACGACTCCTCGAAGCAGCGGTCCGTCCTTGTGTTTGCCAGCGTCTGCTTGTCATCGGCGCCCTGTAACTAGTGGCGCTGAGTAATGATGCGTACAATATTTATGAAGAAACGTATTTTACATTTGGACTTTTAGAAATACAGTTGGTTTCCTCTGGATGCTCTGGTTTCCTTCCCACAGTTTGAGGTTAGGTGAATTGGAGAAAGCATTAAATGAAAGTGTGAATGGTTGCATGTCTCCGTGTTTTACTGCACAATGTAATTAAGCAAAACCAGAGGTATTATTTAGATGTACACATTTCTACTTATAACGGTCTTTATCAACAGCTCTTCTATGCCAACACACAGCTATTATACGTACATGTCAATAAAATGTTAAATGTTTCTCTATTTCAAGACACGACTCCCTTCAGTGTAGCTTTTGCTTGCAATCATTGGTTAGGCTGGCAGTATGCTCCAAATATAATAGATTTTTGTGTGTTCTCAGCTGTTAAACAGCTACTAAGAGCTTGGGGAACAGCAAGAATGCTAGACAGTGTGTTTTGCCACATTTAAAGTTAAGCGAAGCTGTGTTCTGGGGACGGAGAAACCACAGCTTCTGCTGTTTCAGACCAACCGGTTTCGACTGGCTAAGCAAAGAGTTGTTAACTGTAGGATCACACAAATCTGGTGGCTCAGTGCAGGTTATTGTGTATTTGTGGGCAGTGAATAAGGCTGTGCAAAAAAAAAAAAGTTTCATCAAGCTTGGCTGGACTGTCTGCACACACTGCAACAATGGAAGCCAAATACAGCACAAAACTTGTGATCTGCTTGTGTGAACATGCCGAATTCAGCCGTGGTTTGAGGAGCTCTTCAGCTTTCCGTGGTGACAAATTACCAGGGATTTGTGAATAGATGGCAATTTGTTTGTGGTACGTGTAAGTTCACATCCCAGCGTCGTTCTAGAGCCACTAACGAGCAGGCAGTGGGTGATGGATGTTCCCTGAATCCTCTCGTGCGATCACTTTCACTTTAAGGATAACTTGACAATGGTCTGGCCAACGCAATAAGCTGTTTTCTTTGTGTGTTGGTTGTAGAGCGTGCACAGCAAATGGCTTGTTAAGTTTACCACCCCAAAAAACTGAAACAAAAGTGTGTAACGTGTAAAATGAGTAGGAGCCCTGTTAAAATCCTTGTTGGAGCAGGATGGGCCATCTGTTGCATCAACCGCCGAGAGAAGGCCTGCAAAGAGTTCACTACAGAGTCAGCATACATTTGTATTAATAAGCTGCAATGTTTGTGATGCTGAAAGTACTTCTTCACTTATCTTCTAGCCAATCCATGTTTTAAGCGACTGTACTGTGAAAACATTCTGTGCCTGCTGAGTTCCTGCAGAGCTGGCAAGTTAAAGTTCCAGATTTGCCGCTGGAGAAATTTTTGATCCCGTGACTCAGAAAAGAAATCCGTCCCAGAAGATGCTGTTGCACATTCTGTTTTAACTTTGTGACCGGCTCTCGCTGTGAGTTACCGCTAAACGAAAACAGTGAGTCACTGTTGTGATAGTAGGGTTACCCGTGCAGGGCTCAGAATGACGTGTTTTCCAGAGAGCGCATGCTTTGAAGTACTACTACTCCGACTGAATCTCACCTCTGTGTACTCGGATTGGATTGACTCACCGGTGCACTTGCTCCTTGTATCTCAGCGTGTTGTGTTCAGCACCCCAAATCCTACACCATTCTTCTACCGGTGACTCATTTCTCCTGAGGTACGGCGTTGAGAACTGATGTTGTAACATACTATAACAAATAGTATGTTCTGCTAGACAAGCCAAGACAAATGAGCGATACGGGTGAAAAATCAGCTAGAAAATGGCAGAAAACATTGGAAGATGATCAGTAGAAGGAACTGAAAAGGATTTAGGCTGCTACGTGACTGTGACAGCCCGATCCTGTTTTTGAAATGTGTTTTTGGGGATAATTGCCAGCATGTTTTGCACTCATTGTAATGGGTAAGCCATAATTCCCATTACAAAAAAACAACCCCCAAAAAGGGGAAATGTATTGTTTTTCTATTTTTACACATTGTACAACTATTTCACCATCGCCTCTGGAACATATTGTGCTAATAAATTATCCAGCGAGTGTAATGAGAGTTTGAGATTGTAATCGCTCCTCTTGTGTCATTTGTGATTGTGCTGAGGCTTGTGACCTCAAGATCCTCTGCCACAAGCCACGTTAATTAACCCTCTAAGCCTGTGCTGCTAAATCCCGTATGTTGATATTGGTAACTAGGAAAATCTGCTGGTTTTGTTAATCCTCTCTGAAAGTTCCTGTATTGACTTTATCTAGAAACAAATTAAAAATGTCAAACGCAGTATTTTTGCACCAGCTAATTCAATCTTGCTCATTTTGTTTCCAGTTACACACCACTATACTTATGTTAGGATGCATGTAGTAATTGATTAAGTATGAAAAGCAGTTTGGACCTAAATGTGATATTCACTTTGCTTAGTGTGAGCACGTCTGGGAGAAAAAGAATTGTAAGCAGCTGTTTTCTCTCTCTCTTCCAGGAGCACCATCTCCAGCGTGCCATCTCAGCGCAGCAGGTATACGGCGAGAAGCGAGACAACATGGTCATCCCCGTCCCCGAGGCAGAGCGCAACATCACGCACTACGAGTCCCTCTACCCCGGGGAGTTCAAGATGCCAAAGCAGCTTATTCACATACAGCGTGAGTAGCAGCCCGCTCGCAAACAGGATTATCCTCTTAGCCGTGTTAGTGGTCTGTCAGCACGTGGTGATGTTGTTGCCGTTTGGATGCGCCGGGTGTGTCTGATGCGGGTTTACGCCGCTGATTGAGAGAGATTTGTATAAGTTTGGGGTTTTGTGGAGCTGTTAGTTGTTATTGTGAATGTCAGTCCGGACCTGCTGCTAAATACGCAGGCCTCATTTATGTCAGATCATGTGCTAAAAACATTTGTCATGCAGCAGGGTATATGTGGACACTAAATATCACAACCACATGTGGGAAATCGCACACAGCGGTGTTGCAGATTTCACGTGGGGAAGGCACATCTGTCTGTCTTGACACGCGCTGTGTGTTAGATTGTGATGGTTGTCGTCCCCAGAGGGTCTCGCAGCAGATGTGTGGATTCAGAAAATGTTTAAAAGCGTTGGCGGCGCTCTGCATGGGTGATACAAATTAGAGGTCAGTAGGTTATCGGTTGAGACTGCAGGAGGAATTGCACTGACGGTACGCTCCATTCAAAATTTAATTTGGCATGTTTGCGCCGGTGAAATGAAGTGCTGTCACCAGTGTTGCTACCTAAAATGTCACACATCCCTCTGTGCTGTGTTTGCAGTCTGTGAAAACCTGGTTTGTTTTTTGGTTCCTACAATGACTTGATTATATCTGTAGGAGAGAAAGGCATTTTGTTTGTTTTGCTGTGTACTGCAGCCATTAGGTGCACTGTGTTTGAATTAGCAAAGTGTAAACCTGAGGGAAGTTTTCAGCTCAGTTTTTCTGTTATCTAACAGTTTAAATATAGGGCGGTGAGAAGGAATGCTGCATACCTTTCCAAATGCTTCAGGGTTTGAAGTTAATGTGATGATTACGTTGGAGCTAAGATGGCGACACTACTATGTTCCAGGCCATGGCTTGAGATTAGTGCTGGGCGATATGCCCAAAAAGTTGTATGCTTTTCTTGTCATATGCAGTGCCTCGGGCAAATGCCTCTTCAAGCGATGTGTGACCCTTTAGCGTCACTGTTTCACTCGCGCTAACGCTACTGGTTGACGGCCTCGAATCCGACGGCCGTCATCACACTCTTGGTATTCCAACAGATGTTTTCTGCTGAGGTGATGGAGTGAGTTGCTCGTGTTGACCAGCGGCAACAACACCTCTCCCAGCTGTTAACACACTGTTGTGCTATCGGGCTAGCTAGCTAGCGAGCTGTACCCAGCATGCTGTTCGGCGGTGTAATTTTATAAATATACAATTATTAGTGTTACCAATTGTTTATGTGTCACAAACTGTTGTCGTGGTGTTTTTCCCTGTTAAAGAGCGTTAGTTGTGGGTTATTAATTGTTGTGTTATAACCACGATTAGGGGTCCCTGTCAATACAGTTAAGACAACTAGCTCCGACTGTTGCGCTGTAAGCGGCGAACAATATACTTAGCTGCCTGTTGAAGAATGACAGCAGTTGTTTCGGCTATGCACCAGTATGACGGTGTGTGAAAAATTAATATCATATGGGAAATTAAAACCGTTATACCGCCTCGGGCAATATTTACTAAGTGTTTGGTTAAGTTCCCAGCCTAGATGCTGGTGTTTGTCCTGAAGCACTGCTGCATTGAGTTGCTGAAGGCACAGAACCAAACACAGGCACAGTGCTTTGTCATCATGAATTAGTGTTTGATGTTTTTAACAAAGTTTGGCAGTAGTTGAAGACAAAAGCATCTGCATTTCATACTCCATGCCTTGTGTTTTCCAGACTTTGGTAGATCACATTTGCTGTTGAAACACTTAAGGTTCCTATTCTGTCATCAAATCCAACACATACTGCATACTGTGGCTTTTTTCTTCTCCGCTGAGTTACGAAATATGTTTAGTATCCATCAATATGTCATCATTATTTAATAAGAAGTCTCGAAGTTCATGCACAGTGCAGCCGGCTCAAGCAGTGTTTACTGAAGCGATGAAGCGTCCTGTTCAGTCCTGTTCCTGGCGATGCCTGTGAGTGAATGCGTCTGTGTCCGTCTCCTCAGTGACCAACTCTTCTTCTCCGTCTCACAGCTTTCAGTTTGGACACAGAGCAGCCGGACTACGACCTAGATTCCGAGGATGAGACGTTTGTGAATAAGCTGAAGAAGAAAATGGAAATCACAGCCCTGCAGTTTGAAGAAATGATCGACCGACTGGAGAAAGGCAGCGGACAGCAGGTACTGTGTGGGGAGAAATACTGGTTTGCTTAGTATTGGCACAAACGCATCTCTGGCTGTACTCTTACACATAATAGATAAGCCTGTCCTTTACTAAATACTGGTTCTTACCCTGTCATTTAGTAACTTGATAGGTCATTGCATGAGTCCTTGGGTTTCTTTAATAGTTAAGGAAGGATACTGCGTTTTCTACTGCATTAAGTTTTCATCGCTGACTAATGAGTGGGCTGCTGAAATCCATACAACTGTCAAACTTAGAAGTATGAGTTTATGATGTGTGCCTGAAGGCAACAAGACTCCACCACACTGCTGGATGCCAAAAATCGCCACTTTTTGTTGTGTTTTTTGGCTATTTGAAATGACTGCAGCTTGTTAAAACCCCATGGTTTCTCTCTGTCCTTTATTGTGGCCACTGACTCGGGGTCTGTCCTTTGTTGCTCCGCAGCTCGTCAGTCTCCAGGAGGCCAAACTGCTGCTGAAGGACGACGACGAGCTGATCAAGGAGGTGTTTGACTACTGGAGCCGCAAGAGGAAAACCAGTAAGGGTAGCTCCTTCATCCCCAACGTCAAGCAGGAGAAGAGGGATGGCTCTAGCACCAGCGACCCCTATGTGGCCTTCCGCCGACGGACGGAGAAGATGCAGACCAGGAAGGTAGGAATCTGTGGCCGAGGCGGCGCTTGCATTCAAATGATGGCTTCTAGCTGGCCTGGTAGTTGTAAACTGTTCTTTTATCTTAGGGCAATGCTGTTGTTTTGGGACAGTTATCGCCAAAGAGCTGTACCTCTGAGTTTAAAAAAACAATTGACAGCCTTGGTAACTTTGTGTCTGGAAAAAAAGGTTTTGGTATAAATGGGAGCACATCGTGGCTTTATGTGTGAATCATCGCTGTTCCATTTCCAGAATCGAAAGAACGACGAGGCATCGTATGAGAAGATGCTGAAGCTGCGCAGGGACCTGAGCCGAGCTGTCACCATCCTGGAGATGATCAAGAGGAGGGAAAAGAGCAAGAGGGAACTGCTGCACCTCACACTGGAGATCGTGGAGAAGAGGTAAGGACGACCAGTGGGAGAAATTGGCCCCCGGAGAGAGTTCGGCAGTGGCTGTTAGGGTTGTCTGCACCGCATCGACTAGCTCGTTAGGCGAGTAGCTGCTATTGGGAGGCTTTTTCACCGGGATTTCTAGTGCAGGAGTATGCTAAATGCATCGTCTGTATAAGATGACGCATGTTCATGGGATAATGTGCTGCCGTGCTCTGGTTCTCTCAGCAGTGTTTTGGGATCGGTTCTGAAAAGGCTTCGACACTAATTGTTTATCTCCCGAAAGCCCGAAAAGGTGACGATGTCAGCCCTTTACTATGTGCGGTGTTTTGGATGGCTTATGTGGTTAACCTTCATGTTTGATCAGGCTTTTGTTTACTCGCCAAGTCCAAATCCCAAGTAGAGGCCATTAGGAGATTGATGGTGTCAAGGGTCCCCCCCAATATATTCTGTAGAGTCAGGCCTCGCTGCTCGTGTTAATTGGGGCCACAGTCATGTACACTGTTTTGCATGCATTATCAATTTTGAGCTCCCTCTGTTTTATTCAGTAGTGTCGGGAGCAGATTAGCTCATTGACTTCTCTGCGGCTGCTAGAATTCTTTTCCCAGTCTGTGGCGAAGCACGCTAGATTGTTTATTTGCTGTTTTCATTTATCTTTTTCTTTGCCGAGCTCCTCTTTGAATTGTTCTTTTGTTTCCCCCGTTGAGCCTTTGTGATCCATCTAAACATGACGTGTGGATGGAATGAATTTGCTCTGAAAGCAGCTGTCAGTGTGAGCTTAAATTGGACCCTTCTCCTTGAAGTGCTTTTGATTTGTAGTGACATTTCAATTTCCTCTGGTTATCCCGGTCTGTTTCCAGCCTGCGCATCACTGCCAGTGTTCACTGCTAGATTGGACCACTCCACTCTCAATAGGTGGCTTCTCTGGCCCACTTCATGATATTATGTAGCGTGACCCAGGTGTGCTGCATAGCGTGTGGAGTCTGCACTGTGTTTTGCTGAAGTTGAGGTTCTTTTGTCCACGGCTGTGTTTTCAAATATGCAATAATTAGCAGGAATATTGCAGTGTGAAACTTAGTCCAGTAAATGTCAATAAATAACTGACATGTTGGTTGGGAAACAGCTGCGATTCTCTTTTTATTACTGATCAGACATGGTTGTTTTTGGGATTAATAAAGTCATTGTTTAGTGTTTACTTTGACAGAACTAGGATAATGAATTTAAAACAAGAACACCTTCCATTAGCACTTCAATAATCCCTTTTTAATTTGCTGGTCTGAAGTAAGAATTAGCCATTCCTCTGAATCAATTGCTCTGTTTGTAAAGCATCTTAATGCATGTGTCCATTTTTAAGTATTTTAATTAGTGCTGGCTGTACTGAGACGTCTGGGACCTGTTCCTCTGAAGTGGTTCAATTTAACCATAAAAGAATCCCTGAATCCTTTCTGCGGTTGGTTTGTGAATCTGCCCCCTTACCTCCTCTACCCTTTGCTCTCTTTCCGTCAGGAATGGAATGCCCGACTTCGGCAGCGAGGTGATGGCAGAGGCACTTGCACAGCGGGCTTTGGTGAAGCCCGTCTACACCATCCCCATCATCCCCCCGTCCAGCAGTAACCAGTACAGACACCAGGACCACTCGGATATGAAGGACTACAAGAAAGTAAGGCCGTCTACATTCACAGCACACTGGCTTCCTCCTGATACCGTCAGCAACAGGATGGAAATAAACGATTTCCATCCTTTGCCGCTCTTGATGAGCGAGAAAATGTTATTGACTTTGTTCACTTGAGTCTATTCACACGTTGATGATGGCTGAAGCGGGGAGCTGTACATGCAACACGGACTCAAAGGAGATCCTAAAAATGTGCATACTTTAAAATGGCAACCTGGTATACATTTATGAAAGTCATTGCCTCTTTGGGAGCATGGAACTGTTGTGTTTCACTCTTTGGCACACTCTGGTAATCACAGTTATGCCATTGAGGCGGTAGGGTTAAAGTGCTGACTCCTTCAAACCCACACCATTTAATGTAAGGCTAAGTTGCCATATGCTCGGACAATGTAGCACTTCATTACACGGCAGTGTTGTGAACTCCGTGTCACCTCTTCTCTTTATAACTTCATTAGCTCCAGTGTCCAACAACCCTTCCCCTCCCCTGCAGGGAGGCAACTATTCCCCCCTTTTTTCCGCTTCCTTGTGCCCCACCAGCTGGTTGACTTTTCCCTTTTGTTTACAGACGCTCATTTTTCGGTTTAACCCCCCCTCCCTCACCACACTAACCCTCATTTGACACAGCAGTCGTGCGCCGGAGAGTCCCTGCCTCTCTGTTTGCTTTGTCCGCTACGTCTCAGGGCTGAATGGGATCTGACTAATCCTAGTGGAGTTGGAGTCTGTTCAGACAGGGAGGGGTCGTCCCAGTGGGGAAGTTGGGGTGAACGGTGGCACGGGGTGGATTGAGGAGGGGAGGGGCAGCCATCTGGCTCGGCAGCGGCATCTGGCACATGCTGCCATCTGCATATCAATGCCTCCTTTACTCGCGCTTGCTTCCACACACGCTCTCTGCCCGTGCGTGGACCACCAACGCTAGACTGCCGCCGACGGTGTTGCTTTGCATCTTGAAATGCCTTTTCTAAATTACGCAGACTGTAGTATAAACATTAAGCCAGGTTTCCCTCCACTCCTCACAGCCGGAGAAGACGGAGGCAGTACGAACCAAAAGGAAATATGAAAAGAAGCCCAAGATCCCTCCTCTGTCGGCGCCTCAACATTCAGGGCCCTCTGTGTTCAATCCCAAGGACCTCAACCAGTACGACTTCCCCAGCTCAGACGAGGAACCTTTCTCACAGGTAACAGGATCCCATCAGTCTTTTCTCTGTAGCTTTCATACGGATGCTTATATTGAACATAGACAGCCAATGTTGACTGTTCTTAAGCAACTAGAGATCCCGGTTGGCTAGTAATTTGCTGACCGGTGTACAGAAAGGTGTGGTCCAAGTTGTCATCTATTTCCGTTGTTTGTATTGTACAGATCCATTCAGGTTCCTCCGAGGCAGAAGAGGAGAATGACCCAGATGGCTTCTATGCGTTCAGGAGGAAGGCCGGCTGTCAGTACTACGCTGTGAGTGCCCTCCTGTGACTCCTCTGCTTCTATTTATAGAGCCATTAACCAGACCGGCCAGTCTGGCTGTTAGTCTTCCACACCCTGCTGGACAAAACAATGCAATAATAAAGCCTCGCCTTTTCTCTGTTCTAATATCGTTCTCTGTTTTTAATTTAATGTGACTTCCTCTCTCCCCTATTCTCTCGTTCTGCTTCTCCTCTTCACCTTCCTTCAGTCTCGTCCGGACCAGAGTGGCAACTGGCCCTGGGTCAGCCCGTCGAAGGGTGGGCTCGGAGACCCGCGCTTCCGCTACTGTCTGACCTCGCTGAACATGCCGCGGCGCTGCATAGGTCTGGCACGGCGACGCATGGGCAGAGGGGGCAGGTGAGTTCAGTCCGTTTTAGTTTTTTCAGAGATTTGATCCGTGATGTTTGGATTAAAAAATGGAAGTGGATTGTTTCCAAGTCTTGGTAATTTGGCTAAATCGGAAAGCTTTTAATCCGGTAGATCTTCTGGTGTTAGCGATGTAAAGTGCAAGTGTGACATGTTCACACAGCACATACTTCATGCATTCATCATATGCATGAAAACCTACAAACTCAGTGAAGAAAATGAAGTCTGGGAACATATTAAATGAAATGTGTGTAGGAATGCTGCCAGCACCAATACAGAGAGAGGGAAATGAGCCAAGTGTTGGCTGTAGCTGTTGAGGTTGTTTACCATACCGGCTCTTTGGCAGCCTCCCAGCGATCACTTGGCGGGCACATTCTTTTATGAATATCAAACTGGCTGGTCGGAATGATGAACATGACACTCCCATTTTGGGATTCACCCTTCACTGCGAACCTCGAGACGAATCGGAGAACTTAGCTTCCGCCGAGTTTAAAACCTGCAAAATGTGCCGCAAGCTTTGTCTCGTATCTCCTCGGTAATTACCCGGGACGATTGAATGAAGCACACCGACCGGAGGAGTTAGCCAGCGGCGTCCACGGTGCCAGGTGCTGTGGAGGAGACCGACTGGGTTAGGCCGTATCTGTTTCACAGGCGTCCACGAGATTAGATGTTCTGTTTCTGTCTGTGATCAACCTCATCGTCTATCTCTGAATTTTAAAAAGTCTTCTTCTACACGATGTGCTCTTATGATAGCAATCCTTGATCATGTTAGAGGACATGGAGCTCGCTATGTTTATTTGCCTGTGCAATGTTGGTACCAGCCTCGGGCCAAACTAAAAGAACAAAAGAACATTTGACAGCTCTGTTTTTTGGAGCTGTAAAATAGAAACGCTGTCTCTGTTTTTCTGGATTTTAAGCGTTACTGCTGCGCGACTGTAAACTTTGACTCTTGTTCAGTTGCATAAGTGTTCTGCTCTGTACTCGTGGCAGAGCTGCATGTTTTTGTCCTGTTGTCTTTTGTGCAGTAGCCAGCTATAGTCGGTTCTGGCTCACTGGACATCCTAATTACACGAATGTTATGTTGGATGGCCACTCTCGTCCAATACCTCAGTCATAACCTAAGGATGTTGTAATGTACTGATAATCACTACAGCATGGTTTTCCATTGTATGACTCAAAAGCTCAGCAATGGGGATTTGTTCTGATGTTTTTGTTTCCTTTCAGGATCTTGTTGGACCGAGCGCACACAGATCTAGACAGCATCAAGCTGGACTCGGACCCGGAGCCCGAACCGCTCGCCTCGCCAATTCCAAGGTCTCCGCTCCGCAACGCCAGTACCTCAGAAACCAATACCTCGGCCCCAACCAGCTCCCCCCGCCTCCCCTCCTCTTCATCACCCTTGTCGTCGTCGTCATCGCCAACACCTATGGACCTCAGCCAGATTCTTTTGAACATTAAATGTTGCCGCTGGAGGCACTTCAGACCACGGACGCTATCCCATCACCCCTTGGGTGGAGGAGACTTGTCTCGCAGAGGATTTAGGGATTTTAGCCGGACTGTGTCAGGACTAACCCGTACCCTGTCTGGAGGAGCCAGCTCCCAGAACCGCACCGGCCCGGCCGCCACGCCTGTCCACGGTGAGTTGGCCGTCTCCTCCGTCATGCTGCTCAGTGTGTTCTTTTGCATCTTTGGCTTTGTACGGCTAAATATTTTCATTGGTGGAACAGATGGATTTGTTGCTGTATTGCATTGCAAGCAAAAGGTGTCTTGGCATCACAAGGAGCCAATTTAATAAAGTTTTGATAAGCTGTCATTTTACAAGGTTAGTGATTCTGGCAGTAACTTCTGGGAGTAAAAGCTGTCCAGCGTCAGCAGGATGATAGGCTTGCCTTTTATTTGTGGAGGTGTGTGGCGTGGCAACTATGTTGCTCCACTGTCTCTGCTCCCTGAGTTTTGGTTGCCGATGGCTCCGGAGAGGTTTCACACGTGTGTGTGTGTGTGGCCACTTAATCTGTTTCATGTCGAGACGGCATCAGATAGTTCCTGAATCGTGTTCTTGGAGGCAGTGTTGCTGTGTTCCTGCTTGGACTACATATAGCGTATGTGGGTGTTATATCAACAGCTATGAACCAATCGGATTGCTTGATTTTTAGCTCCCTGTTTATTTAAGATTGTTTCGAGCTCAACCAGAAGCTGTGGAAGGAACAGTTAGAGGATCCTCTCTGTAGCCTGCGTGGTGTGCATGGGGAGGGCTGTAATTGGAAAAACTCTCCATGCATAAAATGATGTGAGGTGCTGTTTTTAATTTAAATTTTATGAAAAAGTTGGACATGAAAGCCAGCTCAGTGTTGTGTAGCTGAGGCTCGCTGCTGCTGCTGCTCTTGTGCGACACGTTCTGATGAGGCACCTCGAAGGTAGATGTTGCTGGTGAATCACTCAAACCCCTCTCTCCACATTAACATGCATTCATTCCTCTCCCATGTGGGGGAGTCCATTAGAAATGGTATGAATAGATTCATGAGACGTGCTGGACTGAGTCTGGACTGGTGACTCCATGTTGGGCTGGCTCAATTGTAGAAAATCAAACAAATAAGGGATATGATTTAGTCCAACAATACGCCCCGTGTTATTTCCTACGTCTCTTGAACATATAGGGTCAAGGAAAGATGAGGAGGAGAGGAAGGTCTTAGGAAGAGACAACAGTTGCCATTTAGTACTTCCGGGTCATTTCACTGTCTTTTTTGTTTCAGGAACAATTTTGTCAGTTGGATTTTGCAAGAATGAAGTGTATATGTTGTGGAATCTAAAGAAGAATTAGTTTGTTTGTAGTATGTTTCTGTTAAACGTAGTGGCCCAGTTTTAAAATACATGTGTAAGGAATATCTTATTTTGTGATTGGTGCCTGTATTTTGTGAAAGAATGAAACAGTTGCCACCTTGAGGGTTATTTTGGTCATTAAAGTTGAATGAGGTTAAAACATATTCGTTGTAGAGTATGCCCACAGCACCGAGGTATGAGCGGGCGTTGCTCTGTTTTGGTGTTTTTCTGGAGAAATCTAATCTCGGCACATATAATAATGTAATTTCCTCCTTTAGTTGGAACACAGGCTGTTCTCTAATGCTTCTGTTTGGTCCTCCATGTTGGTAACAAAACACTGGCTCGTACTCAAAACGTCTGCTGTGAAAAAGTGCTTTTTTACATACCTTATTTTGAATTTTAAACAGTTTACTGAGGTTTAATACCCAGTCATGATACTGATCCCATTTTAAAACCTCATATTGTGCAGATGTGCACATTTTGTAGCTCATTAGTTTATGGCTTGAGCCTCCGAGTTCTTGCTGTTGCTGAAAATACTATCTTCATATGAAATATGTGCCACTATTAGGGCTGCACAATTATGGCCAAAAGGATAATCTCATTTATTTTTTATCAATATTGACATCACCATTATAGGGACAACATATTTTTACTGTGCTTTCATATTTACATGAACAGAGCACTTCCATGCTGTTGCATTCCTGCTAATGTACAAATCTATGCATTAAAATAAGACTTCAAATAAGGTTGGCTGTTACTTAATAAGCTCTTGATTTGATATGCGATTGAAGCATGCATTTTAAACAATTAATGATGGATTATTTGTGCAGTCAGGTAGAATACCTCGTATCACCGGGCAGATCTGGGTGAAAGCTGAACAGTCAGGCCTCAGGAGTGTTACCCGCTGTGTGTCTGTGACTTTGTGTTTGACGAGCCTTCAAACTGGACTTCTAGGTCTTGTTTCCTTGAGTCCTCCATCAACACGCCCACATCTACTAGACCCTCGAGTCTCTGCCGGAAAGCCCACTGAGGCGTCGCTTTTGTGTACGCACAAAAGAAAATCAATTTGTGTCAGTGGCTGCGTTTTTTTTTTTGACAAGCATCCTGGGAGCATGTTGATAAGGAGCGCTGTTTAAGGTCCTAAAGTTTCTTACATCATTAAATAGAGGTGGTCCTGTCTTAAAAGGCTGCCAGCTTTACGACTGTTTTAATGTATTAGTCTATGTTTCAGAGGTTTATCTCCCTTCTGACCAAATGAGAATGCTTAATATTTGCACAAAGAATAAGCCGCTTTAATACAAGTCCTTGCATTGGCTGTATAGAATCCCTCCAAATACAAAACCCCACCTGTTAGGTCTGTTGTCAGCGTGCGTCTCAGAGCGACTGAACCACACCGTCCATGTTTTTTGACCGGTGCGTCTTCACCTCCCTGTCCAGTGTTCACGGCAGAGCAGTACCAGCAGCACCGGGAGCAGCTGGCGGTCATGCAGAAACAGCAGCAGGAGCAGACCCAACAGCAGCTACAAGCCAACAACCCTGCAGCAACTACCAACACACAGGTCAGTCGTACGAGAGGTCAGCTGTTTGTATCGTGTTGTGGACTCCTCACACGTGCTTTTATGAGCCAGAGTTCTCCCAATATGGAAGTCATTTACAGTTCAGCCTTAGGAAATGGCAGCTGACTTGGTGGTTTCAGCCGTTTTCATACAGGTCAGGTCTTTTGGCACGGGGCCCTCATGCTTTCTTCCTGGTGTCCGTCTAGGCACTCGCGTCCAAGACGTTGGATCAGGCCAGCGCCCAGTTCGCTGCGTCGGCCCTCGTCACCACTGACCAGCTGCTGGCCTTCAAGTCCAAAGAGGAGCTGGTGCTGGCAGGTGGAGTCAACGGGGTCCTGACGGGTGCAGGTGAGTGTCGCTCATTTTAGTAATCGCACCAAACGAGTGTTTGCATTTGTCGTGGTGCTCGGTGGAGAAGGAAGATCTTCAGTCTGTCTGTACTCAAAGAAAGGGAAAGAATGTGCTCACATGAAATGTATTTCTTTTATTCTGTAGCCTCTAAAAATCCTTTAAATGAAACAATCCCAGAAGGAAGATTCCATCTTTGTGTGCTGTGCTGTGGAACCAGCGTCGATAGACACATAAAATGTTGCAGTGTAGCCAAAGAAAAAGGTTCATATGAACGTTCAGCTTGCTGTGGCTTTATGTTTTTCATCTTCTCTCTGTTCACCAGGTGTTTTCAAAGGCTTGCATCTCTCCAGCAGCACCGCGGCCCTCCACCAGACCAACCAGTCGACGCACACCACCTCCACGGCTCCCGCTTTCCTCCAGCCCTCCTCCAACTCGGCCACCCCTTCACCCGCCAACGCCGTCCCCACCTCCCTCACCTCCACCCCCAGCGCCCACGCAGCAGCAGCGCTGGGGATCCTGGGATGCAGCGCCGCCACCGCCACCACTCAGGTCCTCATCGGGAACAACATCTGTCTGAGCGTGCCGTCGGCCGCCAGCCTGGCCGGACGCCACATTCCCCGGACCCTCGGCAACGTGCCACCTTCTGCCTTAAAGCTGTCGGCCACCACCAACCTGCAGATGCCCAAAGTCTCTGGAGCATCGTCCATGGACATGGGCTCACGGTGAGGAAATGACAAAAGAGATGTTTGTTTTGAATGACTTCCTGCTGACGCAGCACAAACAGACGTTAATAGTTTACACTGGAAACCAAGGCTGCACAGACTTAAAGCCTCCGCACAGAAGTGGGCGATCAGACGATGGTTCCTTACGGCATCGTCTCAAACAACGCCTTCATGTTCCAGACACAGCAGAAAACACACATTATTAAAGAAATATGCAGACGAAGATAACTTTATTGTAAGTTAATCTTGTTGACTATCAGATTACCTTTTTGTGTAATGTTTGTTTTGTGGATGAGCAACAGTTAAGCCTTTGCATCGACATACAATCCGTGGTTGAGGTATTCAGTCGGATCTTGGATCTAAATGTCTGCCAGAGAAAACTGAGAATCCACATAAATCAGCCTGAAAGAAGAGCTCACAGCATGTTCCGTCAGTAGAGATCTGTTGGCTGAGATCTAGGACAGTTAAAGAGACAAAAAACCCGCTAAAGGACATCCGCTTTAATCTCGGCGCTCCTCTCTCCTCCACAGGGATAATCACGACGAAGACAAGCCAGCACTGAACAGTATAGTGGACAACACAGTGGCCATGGAGGTGACGTAGTAGCGGAGCGATGCAGAGTCCCCTCTCGGTGCTGTGCATCGGAGCATCGGGAATGCAAAAGGGACAGCAGGACTCTGACGGACGATTCTCATCTCCCATACTTTTTAAAAGCTTTTTTTTTTTTTTTTTTGTTAAAAGTAAAAGATTGACATCTGTAAATTATGAATATGGCAAAATTAGTATCTGTACAGTATCTACATATTTGTAATATCCCCCTTGTATATATATTACTTGAATACAGAACTGTCCATTTGTGATGTTTTGCACTTGGGAGTCCAACTTTTAAAGGAGGCAAATAAAAAAAAAAAAAAAAGTAAAGCCAAGTGACTTGTGGCGCGTGTGAGAGATGTGAGTTGTATAGAGAAGAGTTTTATCACATGTGCATGGTGCGGAGCCTGCTGTTTTTATCTATTTATTGTGCTGTGTTTACAGTTCCTTTTGTTTCTGCTTTGTTTTTGTTTTTTTATTTGTACACTGTACCTTTGTTGGTTCCTGTGCTGTAGTAAATGTTAGGTAGCTACGGACTCCTGGGTATTTTTGTATAGTGTGAACACAAAGCAGGTCCCCCACACACTCACACACACGTTTATTTTGGGTCCCTGTGCTTCTCTCTGTGGATCATGTGAAAATCGATGGTGACACACATACAGACCAGGGGGGGGGGCCAGGAGGAGGAAGAGGAGGCGGTGTTCCCCTCTTCCTGGGAGCTTCCATTAACATTGTCCCAAACACAAGTAACAACACGGGGGTGAAGTCTCTTCCCAGAAGCCTCTGCTGCTTCTGATTAAAGCACTATTTTTTTGTGATGATTTTTATTTTTATTTTTTTTTTGGTCATGATTTTGATAAATATTAATGCTGCTTTTGTATCGTTTGTTTTTAAAGGGGTTGTTCATTTTTTTTTTTTTCATGCAAGCGGAGTCCCCTAAATATCCGTTTTATCCCACGAACATTTTTGTAAAACAAAAATTCAGTTATTTTTGTATTTTTCTTTTCTTGTGGTAAACTTGATTGTAAGCTTTTCGTTAATTGAAAGACTTCATTATGTTGTTCGTTCGTTACTTGTTCATGCATAGGTGACGAGGGAGGTGAATGGGCAGTAATCGCTGTACGTGTTTCATCATTCCAGTTTTTATTAACAAAAAAATGCTAATGAGGGGGCGGAGGGGTGGCGGTAAAAAAAAAAAACAGAACGTCAGTTATCTCCCCTCTCTTCCCCCTTTTTCTTTACTTTCTTTTTTTCTTTGAAAAAAAAATAATCTCCAGACGGCTGCAAGGCCAAAAAACCACAAGTATTGGGTGCCTTCCTTTGGGGAATTCTATGTACTCTCTTCTGTGAAGAGTTAGGCACAAAGGCAGCATTACTTAGTAGTGCTTCTCGTCTTTGTCACAATCTGAATGCCCAGTCCAATGGCAGGATATATCCTTGAGGTTTACTTGTCCCACCTGGAGGCTGAAAAGACTAAAAAACAAAAAAATGTGACGGAACTCTCACTAAAATAAGACAATAAAGCCCAGGGCATTAAATGTGAATCATTTGGAGTCTGTCATTTATATGCGTGTGTCTAAACTACTGTACCCATCTGAGGTTTCTCTCCACCTTATTATTCACCTTCTTGCTGAGTTACACCAAACATACATACAGCACTTTTGAGTTAAATGGAAGATCTCAGACTTTGTCTACGCACACAAAAGGCTTATTTCTCTCATTTAGTTCACACATTTGACAATCTGTAAGTGAGTGAGCACTAATGCTGACTTAGGCTGACCACAATAGTAAAAAATAAAACAATGCCAGGAATGTCCTCTCAATGAGAACTTGATATTCGGCCTTTATATTAAAATCGCCCGCTGTAGTGATGAAGCATGAGGCGGGGTTAACGCCCACCCTGCAGGTTGTGAGCTGGGCCAGTTGTCTCGCTGCCGACTGATGTCTCTTACGCTGCCAGAGCTCCAGCGAAGCTAAATTGGAAAACTTGGAGTAATTTGGCCTCTAATGGAAAAGTCTTAACAGCCGAGTTGTGACAGGGAATTGGTGTGTGTGTTGTTTTGTTCTTCCGGAGACACTGATGCTGTCACCTCCAAAGGTCACTAATTAACTTTCTATCCTTTTGGAAACAGAAGAATAACAATAGTTTTTTTCCGGGGGATTATGTGCCGAACTAGCCAGCTAGTGGTTTCTCCCAGTCTAGTCTTTATGCTAAGCTAAGCTAGCTGACTGCTGGTTCCAGCTTTATATTTACAGGACAGATGTGAGAGCGGTATCTCCTCATAGATGAGAAGCTCAGCATAAAGACTGGCCTGGGAGAAACTAGCTGCTAATGGCTGGCTAGTCTGGCACATAAACCGATATCGATATATACACACAGTATATTGGTGCCTTGAGCACCACAATGGCATCTAGTTTCATTATATTGGAGAGAAGTCAGACATCTCTTCAGCCGATATCACCATAACTATAAGCAACTCACACAAAAACAATCCAGATTGATGAATAGCACCCAGGCGGAAGTGTAACCTCCACATTGCAAATATGGTCCCTTCACAAAAAAAACAAAAGCGTGGAGAAGGCCGTAATCCAAGATGGCGACGGCCGTAATTGCTGAACTCAGGGCTTCAAAACGTCAGTCCACAATCCAATGGGTGACGTCCCGGTGACTACGTCCACTTCTTATAAACAGTCTGTGATAACACTACAGGTAAGAGTATTTATGATTTTGGGCTGAACTGTCCCTTTAAAAGAAATGGATCAAATGTGTTAACTATGGGCCTTTGGAGGCGCAGTCGTCCTGTAAGGAGGAGCTGTACATCTCAGGAAGACTAAAACAACACGGACACTAATTCCCTGTACAGCAGCTCAACTATAGATCTCACTTTTCCAACAAAAGCCAAATTACTCCCAAATTTTCCAATTCAGCCCCGCTGGAGCGCTGGCAGCATAATTTCCGCCACATTCCTGTTGGAAAAGAGAAATCAGTCAGCAGCAGGACAGCTGGCCCACCTCGTGCTTTCTCATTACTACAGTCATCGATTCTTTTTGGTGCAAACCTGAAATAAAGTTGTTTTTCTCATCAATTTTTCACCGATGTCCTCTGGGGGAAGATAGCTGTAGCACGTGTATTTTTCTCATAAATTCAATACACATTTTTCTCCCTGAAATGTTTTCTTGTGCTCCTGCAAACAGGAGTCTGCAGCTTCTTTCTCTTTTGTCTGTAAAAGGGAACTTACTTCTTCTTTCACTGTTGAGTAACTCTTATCTTCTCAGGCCACATTCTCACCAGGAAAGTTAATTCGCACTTGCACGTGTACTCCCAAAAATAGAAAGTCTTATGGCTTTTGCCAGCAGACTCCTCTGCATCCATGATGCATTGGGAACAAGCGGGGATCATCTAAATGCGCGACAGGCGTTTGCGGTGCCAAAAACGCCGTGCAGCTGTTGGCCACCACTGGGTCAGATGTCGCGATCAGGGCGGTGATTGGACAGCCAGAGGGCCGGGCGTGTTAACACGGCGCTCGCACTTCTGTGTCAGACGACAGGTGTGAGGCCGGTGGTGGCGACTGTCGCCCTGGTTCTCTGAAAGGTGACTCCGCTTTCCAAGCAAAGAGCAGGAAATGGCCCTGCTTCTCTCTGCTGACTTTGAAGTGCTGCTGAAGCGCTCAGACCCTCCGCAAAAGCAAAATGAGTCACGCCGGCCGCGGACAGTGAGGTGAGAAGCAGCGGCAGCGAAGTACATGAGCTTTATTTTCTCTGTAACAGCAGTTCAGAGAAACTGAAGAGCAGCTCGTGACCACAAGTGAAAAAGGTTTCATCCTGAATGCTGTGATGTGAGAGATCCAGTAGTGTCTTTACTGTCTTAACTCATATTACCTGGTAAAGAAATCCTATACGACATTTTGGGAAATGTGATTATTGGCCAAATATTAGTTGAGAGGATTGATACCTTTCAAATGTGTCCGTTACAGTTAGCTTAGCTTAGCATAAAGAATGGAAGAAGGGGGTAATCTGCCTTCCAGCACCTCTAAAGCTCACTAATTAACACAGTAAATCTGGTTTGTTTAACAATATACAAAAATCAAACTCATTAATTCCACTGAAAACTAATTAAACAGCTCATACACCTGACAAGCTGTCCTGATTCCTCTTACTTATTAATTCATTTTTAATGGAAATGAGCATGAATTGGCATCATCATAATATTAATGTGCCATAAGAAGATAACTCCCCCGGTGGTCCCAAATTCACTGTTTGTCATTTAGTTGCAAATCGTTTGACTAGTTGCACATTTTCATAAGAATATCCAACTATAAATATCCAACATCAACAAATGTGGATCGTCCATTATTACATGAAATATAGTTTCAGAACTTTAAACCTTCATTAATGGGTTTGTTTGGCCACCAGGGGGCAGCGCAACCAGCTGTCAACACCACGCCGACATATTATCACCTGATAGAGTTAACACGGCGAACATGTCAAGAAACAGCTATTTACACATCCAGCACATACACGGTGAGCAGAAGGTGGGAGGCGTGTGGAGGCTAATAAGCACAGCAACGTTTTATTATCTTTTGCCGCGGGGCTTTCTAACAGGCTCGGCTGCATGTTTATCTGCACGCTGTCCTCATTTTAGAAATACTGAACATGTTTAAATGTCAGATGTCTATCCCCCTTTGTTACGTTGTGTAATTGACATGTACAGCAACAATAACTTTTGGATCCCGGGGTGTCACATGACCTGCACTTCCAACTTTGGCCTCGTGCCAAATCGGCGCACAGCCCAGCACTGTTGGGACTTGTTACTCATTTTGTGTGTTTTGTTGAATCAAAGAAGCAATTCCATTTCAGGGGAAATATACTTCTTTACAATCTCGCCCAGAATTATAACAATGGATGTGTTCAGTCTGTGTATCAGGGTGTCACGTGACTCGCAGTTCCATCTTTGGCCACTAAGAGAAAACTGGAGCACCACCAAAATCTGTCCGTACTGTTTAGATATCATCCTTTTTCTGTGGGACTTGTTCAAAGGAAAAACATGTTTCTTTACCATCTCACTCAGACACAAATGAGGATTTTTCTGATGACTTTTGACTGAGTCGCTGCTTAGAAAAGATGAAATACTGCACAAATGCTGCTAAAACCACAGTGCCTTTTTTAAAGACAGACAGATTTAACAGCATGTGCATGTGACAAATTACGAGATGTTGAGAAGTTTATTTTTCTTCTTTCGTTGAAGCATCTTTCTTCTTTTTTTTAAAATGTTTCCCTCTGGTCCCAGTCTTTGTGCTGAACTCCCCAAACCAATTTATACACAGCGAGCACAACGATTAAATCAATATCGATCCCACTCTGACATTTTCCTCCAAATCTCCAATTCTTCTTGTTCTAGTTTTTCGGCTGCAGCTAAATGTTCTCTGAGTTTGCACTTCCCGCGAGCATGTTGAAATACGAGGGGGGGGGGGCTGTTTCTTGGATGCTCTGAGGAATTCAGGCCCCGATAAGCCGGGGTGTGTGTGTTTAAACAGAACTAGGATTTAAGAGACTCGTCACAGTGCTCGGCTTGAATCAGAGACAGGAACCCACGCTACATGCCTCCACACCCCTTGCGCTGCTATCTCTGTTTCATGCCAGTGTCACAAAGGTCCACAGTCACTGCACCATAAATAAAGTCTTGTCTGAATCGGTTCCCGTATCAAAACGCGGAGGCGGTACGCTAATATTATCCCTCAGACAGACTTCCTGCTCCGGTGTTTGGCTCGGGCTTGTGTGTTTCATCTGTGCCAGAGAGGAGCTGCCACTTTGATGACACATTAGAATATTCTGATGTGAGAACAGAGGGGCCCATCTCCTCTCCGAGTGCGGCCACTCGTAAGGCGAATGCATTGTCGAAGGGCGACTCTGAGGAATCTTAATGAGAGACGGGTTCTTTAGTTCTCTTCCATGGTACATCCAGGGGACTTAGCTCTGAAGGTCTGCCTGTCCGCCTTGTTCTTCCTCCGATTATCATGTGAGACGTTATTGATCAGGTCGGAGATGTGGATCTAAAGACGGAGAGGGGGACAGAAGTGGCTTTGAATGAGTCTTTTTCATTCCACCGATCTTTGTTCTTCCGTTGTGACACCAAGAAAATGTTCCACCTAGTTGAACGGCGATGCAGCAAGAACGCTAAACAAGCAAGAAAGTCGCTGTACATGTTATATCACATCCTTAAACTATTTGACTCGTACAAGGCTAAACTAAAGTCATCATCATGACTTAAAGTCAAGTCTTTCTTTATAGTGCCAACAAGACCAACTGCTTTAAATGCATCAAACTTTCAAGACCTAAATGGTGTGCAACCAGAGAAAGAACCATTGCAACAACTCTCACTGGATGGATTGACTCAGAATAAAGATCATTTAAAATGGTCCTAACCAGTAGGAAGCAGCATGGAGGCCAGTGAGGACGCTACGGTGTTGGATTGTTGTTGATTTGATGGAGAGCTGTGTCTGACTTGATATGTATTCGCACTGCTTGGTACAGGCTATTTACTGCT